GCCTGCACCAGAGCCCATCCTAAGAACCAGAACCAACACATCTGGTGACTGACTTTAAACAACACCAGAGCACCACCCAATTGCCTACACAAATGACACACCCAAATGGCCAATTTAGGAAGCACCACAGCACCGATAAAGCAACTCAGCCCCCACACGATAGCTCGTCCACTATAGTCACAGCCAGTCCTCAGAGCCAGTCAGCATGAAAATTAATCCCAGCTACAGACACGCCAACAGCAATCAAGGCTCAATAACAACAGGAAGGCACACAAAATCCACACATGGAATACCCATGGAGCATTCGGCTCAGGTGGCAAGGGAGACAGCAACACTGTTAATTACCTACAAGGGAATAAGCCTGTCAACTAGTTTCTCAACAGAAACTTTGCAGGACAGAAAGAACTGGCACAAAATATTCAAAGTGATAAAAAGCAAGGACCTGCAATCAAGACTACTCTTCCCAGCAAAGCTATTATTTAAAATTAAAAGAGAAATAGATTCCCAGACAAGGGGGGGGAAAGTTCATTAGCATCAAATCAGTATTACAAGAAATGTTAAAGGGACTTCTCTAACAAGAAAAACAGGAACACAATTATTAAGAATAAAATAGCAAAAATACATACCTACCAATAAACATTCTAAATGTGAATAGTCTAAATGCTCCGATCAAAAGACACAGGGTATCTAAATGGATAAGAAAACAAGACCCATATATATACTGTCTACAAGAAACCCACCTCAGAATGAAAGACACAGACTGAAAGTGAAGAGATGAAAAAACTTTATGCAAATAGAAATTTTAAAAGCTGGGACAGCAATATTTATAGCAGTAAAAATAGACATTAAAGGCTGTAATAAGAGACAAAGAAGGATATTACATAATGTTAAAAGGATCAATCCAAAAAGAGGATATAACCGGTAAATATTTACATACCTAACATACAAGCACCTAAATATATAAAACAAATATGATGCATATAAAGGGAGATATCGACAGTAATACAGTAAATGTAAGGGACTTTAACACCCCATTGACACCAATAAACAGACCATCTAGACAGAAAATGAGGAAACACCTGCCTTAAATGTCACCTGCCTTAGATGGATTTAATTGATGATTTCAGAATATTTCACCCCAAAGCAGAATATACACTTTTCAAGAGCACATGGAACATTTTCCAGGACAGACCATATGTTAGACCACAAAACAAGTTTCAATAAATTTAAGAAGACTGAAATACTATCGAACATCTTCTCCAATCACAGTGGTATGAGACTAGAAATAGACTATAAGAAAACTGAAAAACACACAAACACTTGGAGGGTAAATAACATGCTACTAAACAATGAATGAGTTAACAACAAGATCAAGGAAGAAATCAAGAGTCACCTTGAGACAAATGAAAATGAAAACACAATTACCACAATCTATGGGACACAGTAAAAGCAGTCCTAAGAGGAAAATTCACACCTGCCTCAAGAAAATAAACAGCCAGACCTTATACTTAAAATAACTAGAAAAGGAACAACAGACAGAGCCCAAACTGAGTAGATGGAAGGAAATAATAAACATCAGAGGGGAAATAAATAAAAAAGAGTCTAAAAAAATACAAAAAAATCTATGAAACAAGAGCTGAATCTTCAAAATGATAAACAGGATTGATAAACCTTTAACAAGACTCATCAAGAAAAAAAGAGAGAACCCAAATTAAAAAAATCAGAGATGAAAAGAAGTGACAACTGACACCACAGAAATACTATGAAAAATTATAGGCAAACAAATTGGACAACCTGGAAGAAATGGATATATTCCTAAAAACATACAATCTCCCAAGACCAAATCCAGAAGAAATATAAAATATGAGAAGACAGATAACTACAAACAAAATCAAATGAGTAATCAAAAAACTCCCAACAAATTCAAGTCCTAGATCTGATGGCTTCACAGGTGAATTTTACCAAATAATCAAAGGAGAATTAATACCTATCCTTCTCAAACTATTCCAAAAAGTCCAAAAGGAGGGAAGACTTCCAAGCTCATTTCATGAGGCTAGAATTACCGTTTCCAAAACCACCAAAACATTATAAAAATAAAAAATTATAGGCCAAAATCCCTGATGAATACAGATGTAAAACTCCTCAACAAAATATTAGCAAACAGGATCCAGCAATACATTAAAAAGATCATACACCATGATCAAGTACAATTTATTCCGAGGATGCAAGTCTGGTTCAATATCTGCAAATCAATTAACATGATACACTGCACAAACAAAATGAAAAATAAAAATCATATGATCATATAGGTAGATCCAGAAAAAGCATTTGACAAAATTGAGCACCCTTTTATGATAAATACTCTCAGCAAAGTGGGAATAAAGGGAACGTACCTGAACCTAATAAAGGCCATATATGACAAACCTACAGCTAACATCATACTCAATGGGCAAAAATTGAAAGTATTTCCCTTAAGATCAGGAAGAAGACAGGGATGTCCACCTTTACCACCTTATTCAACAAAGTACTGGAAATTCTAGCTACAGCGATCAGACAAGAAAAAAAAAATAAAAGGCATCCAAACTGGAAATGAAGTAAAATTCATTATTTGTAGATTACATGATACTATATAGAGAGAACCCTAATGATCCTACCAAAACACAATTAGATCTGATAAATTAATTCAGTAAAGTAGCAAAATACAAAATTAATATTCAGAAATCCATTGTGGTTTATACACCAATAATGAACTATCAGAAGAAGAAATTAAGAAAACAATACCATTTACAATTGCATCAAAAAATTAAATACCTAAGAATAAATTTAATCAAGGAGGTAAAAGAGCTGTACTTGCAAAATTATAAGACATTGAAGAAAGAAAGTGCAGAAAATACAAATAAATGGAAGCATATGCTGTGCTCATGGATAGAAAGAATTAACAGTTAAAATGCCCATACTACCCTAGGCAATCTACTCATTCTGTACAATCCCTCTCAGTATATCAATGGCATATTTCACAGGACTAGAACAAATAATCCTAAAATTTATAAGGTACCACAGAAGATCACAAATAGCCACAGCAATCTTGAGAAAGAAGAACAAAGCTGTAGGTATCACACTACTTGATATCAGAATATACTGCAAGGCTATATAATCAACAACATGGTACCGACATAAAAACAGACACATAGATAAATGGAATAAATAAGAGTGCCCAGAAATAAACCCATGCCTATATGGTCAATTAATACTTGAAAAAGGAGGCAAGAATATACAATGGGTAAAGACAGTGTCTTCAAAAAATGTTGGGAAAACTGGACAGATACATGGAATAAAATGAAACTAGACCAGGTTCTTATACCATACACAAGAATAAATTCAAAATGGATTAAAGACTTAAATGTAATAGCTAAAACTATGTAATTCTCTGAGAGAAACATAGGGGCTAATGTTCATGAACTTGCGTTTCACTAAAAGCACAAGTAACAAAAATAGATAAATTGGACTTCATCAAAATGAAAAACTTGTGCTTCAAAGGACACTATGAAGAAGTTAAAAGACAACCCACAGAATGAGATAAGATATTTACAAATCATATATCTGACAATAGACTGGTATGCAGAAAATGTAAAAGAAAAAATATATATCCCTGTACTAGATAACAAAAAGACAAATAACCCCATTCAAAAACTAGCAAAGGATCAGAATAAACATTTTTCCAAAGAAAATATACAAAGAGCCAACAATCACATGAAATGATGTTAAACATTATTAGTTATTAGAGAAATACAAATCAAAATCATAATGAGATGCCACTTCACAGCCACTAGGATTGCTATAATAATAATTTTTAAAAAAAGAAAAGGAAAGTGGTCTGGCCAGCATGGCTCAGCAGTTGAGCATCAACCTATGATCCAGGAGATCGAGGTTTGATTTCCATTCAGGGAACATGCCCAGGTTGTGGGCTCAATCCTCAGCAGGGGGCGTGCAGGAGGCGGCTGATCAATGACTTTCTCTCATCATTGATGTGTCTCTCTCTCTCTCCCTCTCCCTCTCCCTTCCTCTCTCTGAAATCAATAAAAATATATTTATTTTTAAAAAAGGAAAGCAAATGTTGGCAAAGATGTAGAGAAATCAGAACCCTTATACACTGCTTATGGGAATGTAAAATAGTGTAGCCAGTGTGGAAAATAATTTCATGGCTCTTCAATAAATTAAACACAGAATTATCATATGATCCAATAATTCCATTCCCAAGTATATATCCAAAAGAATTGAAAATAGATGTTTAAATACATAAAAACTTGTATACAAATGTTCATAGCAACACTATTCACAATAGTCAAAAGGTGAAAACAACCTAAATATCTACGAATGAATGAATGGATAATCAAATGTGGGTTTTATCCATACAATGAAATTTTATTAGACCATAAAAACAAATGAAGTACTGTCATATGCTATAACATGGATGAACTTTGAAAACATGCTATGTGAAAGAAGCCAGTCACAAAAGACCACATATTATATGAATCCATTTATTTGACAGGTCCAGAATAGGTCAATCTACAGAAATAAAAATAGATTAGTGATTGCCTAGGGATGGCAGGGTGGAAGGGTGAGGTAGGACAGTCATAGCTAAAAGGTGTATAGGGTTTCTTTGGTGGTGATTAAAATTTTCAAAAATTGACTTTGTTGATAGTTGCACAACTCTGTGAATATAATAAAAACCATTGAATTGTATATTTTAAGTTGTTCAATTCCACATTATGTGAATTATATCTCAATAAATCTGTTTAAAAAAACATTTTTTAACTGATGCTAAAATTGCAACAACAAAGACCATAATTATATGGATATGGTTAAGAATAAAGTGGAGAAAAACATGGATATATTAGGGTTGTAGGTCTGGTTATTTTTTCTTTTATTGTTAAAATGTTTACACAAGATGTATAAATGAATGTTTTAAAACTTATGCTATACAAATGTTTGTAACTCACCTTTATAAATAAGAGGCTTATCTTTATCTTCTGTCTTCTCCCTACTAGCCAATTCAAGAAAATCTTCAATCAAGTCCAGAGATATGAGAGACTGGCTGAAAACAAGTCTAAAAAAACAGATGAGTGTTCTCAGATTAGAAGATTCATATAGTAAAGATATCACTTCTTCTAAAATTAATCTGCAAATTCAACACAATACTAATGAAAACCCCAGTAGGATTTTTTTTTTTTTTAGAAATTAACAAGCTGATTCTAAAGTTTATATGGGAATGCCAAGCACACAGAGTAACCAAAACAACTTTGAAAGAGAAAAAGTTGGAGACCTAACTGTACAGCATTTCAACACTTACAAAGCTAGAGTAATCAAAATAGGGGGGAAAAAAACATGAAAAAAACCAGAGTACTGATGAAAGGACAAGCACAAAGGACAAAATCAATGGAACAAAATACAGAGTCTACATAACAGAGAGCCACACAATATCGTTAATTGGTTTTTTAACGAAGAGGTAAAGGCAAAATTGGACATCTGTATTCAAATAAATGAACTCTGGCCTAAACTTCATACTTTATATAAAAATTAACTCAAATGGATCATAAATCTAAATGTAAAATACAAAACCACAGAATGTTTAGAATAACAAAAAAAAAAAATTTATAACTTGAGGTTAGACAAATAATTCTTAGACATGACACCAAAAATATAATCTATGCAATGTAAGTTGATAAACTGGACTTTGTCAAAATCAAAAACTTTTACTTTGCAAAACACAGTTTAGAGAATATGAGAAAAAGCCTTCTTAATAAAAGTATTTGAGTAATTTTAAATTGTACACATTCTAAATACTTTGTCATTCTATTTCAAATATGTCTGCAAATTCTCGATTCTCTATCTCAGTATTTCTCTAACTCCTTTTTAGCAATGAACACTATTTGTTCACATAAAGTCTTACATAGTGTTAAAATAAAAAATATATAAGCAAGGTGTTTTAGGCATTGAGGGAGGAGAAAAAGTGTTGATGGACCCTCACCCTCTGCTCTAGGTCATCAACTTACAAGACCTCTGAGAAACAGCTTGAAAACCACTGCTCTGTTCTATCCAATTGGTGAGAAGTGGACACAATTACACACCTGGAAGTGAAAAAAAAACTCTAGAAAGAATATAGAAGAGCTTGTTCTCTCCCTTATATATGCAAACAAAGTAGGTCAGTCTACAAAAAACTAGACACCTGTAGTAAGCATCTTTTTTGTTTTGATTCTGAAAGCTGTAATGTAGGAGAGAGGTGCTCATGGAAGATGTTTCACCCTCACTGCTAGATGTTTTCAACTTTAGTAGAACTAAAAGAACAACTCAAACTATGAAACAGCCCTTGGGAGTTAACAACATATGCACTGACTACTGTATGGCTTCCTGAACTCTGCGCTGTGAGTGGCTAGGGTCTACCAGTTGGTATTCCTAGAATTCTGGGAAGTAAATGAATTGATTCCTGGTGCTCATTATAAATTATCAGCACTATACTTTGATCTCTCAGTAGATTGGTTTTTCTTCCCAGAATCAAAAACTTTATTGAATCAATTCTTTCTGAAATATAAATTAAGTTTTTGACAGTTCCTATAACTAGGAAACTTAAACTCTTACAAATACATATTATTTAATGATAATTAATCTGGAATTTGGGCTACTATTCAGGAAAGCTGTTGATTTGAGTCAATTAGCATTAAGGCTGGTTCTGGGAACCACTGAGTTCAGGTAAGTCTCACTATGAAAAAGAGAGTGTTATTAGGACCAAGTGAATATAAACTAATGGTTATCTCTGTTAACCTTTTCAGACAACATGAAGAACTGTTGTCCTGATTAGTAATCATTTTCATATTTATATAAACTATTTTGGCTTTATCTACTTTATAAATGACCCATGTGAAAATATAAAGGCAATACTTATTAAATCCACACATATCTGTAAATATTCAATCAAAATTTAATATTTAAATGAAAGAAAACAAATTAATCAGAAGGGCTGAGCTGAAACCAGTGGTGTACCACAGTTGGTTGTAACTAGCTTGAAACAGGAAAGTGGACTGTCAACATTTCTTCCCACCTCTGACATTATGTTGGCGGCTTGAATTGGCCACAGTGGGAGCATTTATACCATGGAAATCAGCAAATGTTACAAATCAGGGCTTTTCTTTCTTGCTTCTTTGCTTTCTCTAATATATATAAATTTATTTATTCATTCATTTGGAGAGACAGCTGTTAAACATTCATCAACATATTTGTTTCTCATCCTGTGGAAATATCAAGTTTCTCCCAGGTGGGGCAAAAGTAGGTTTACAGTTGTGAGTATGCTAAACACAAAGTTGATTCTTATATTATTTACTAATTATCGTATTATTTTTCCATCAGAAAAACTATAAACTTACTTTTGCCCCACCCTGTATTTGTGTCAAAAGATCAACTGCACAAATAAAGAACAGGGGAATCTGATTTAACAGCAGCTCTTTAAAAAAAAAAAAAAGTGTCTTCACTGACCACAGGTTTCAACATCAATCAACACTGTTATTTAGAGGTTGTAAAGGGTTTCAGAACAGTCCTCTCCAAAATGTGCTCCTTTGGAATGTGGACTATTTTGAACTAAAGGTAACTGAGACCCTGAAGGCTCGAGAGAAACTTTTACCAGAAATAACTTTTTATAACCTATCTATAGGGCAGGGCACTTATATTTACTAAACACTTGCTCTTATCCTGAAAATTATCCTCCTTCCCTCTGAAGCTTCAGGGCATTTTACCCTACTTAGCTCAGGATATAAAAGATACCTCATATTACTTTTCTGTCTCTGAACCTCTCCTGTATGTGAGATCTCTCATTCTGGCATATATGTTGGGGTTTCCATACATACATATGTAATTAAATTTGGTTATTTTATCTTAATCTGTCTCATGCCGATTTAATTATTAGATCAGCTAAAAGAACATACAAGGCTAGAGTAAAATTTCTTCCTCCCTCAAAGTCGGAAAACCTCTCTATAGGATTGCATGAATGTATGCATAGGGTCCAGAATAAACAATAACCTGCCTCACTAAAGCTCTGTGTCTTTTTTACTGCAACCATATTTTGAGATGGGTACTAAGAACTAAAGTATATTCAAGACCATGTGGTCAGGACGGAAATTATGCCATACAAAAAATAAATCAATGAATTGAGAAGAGAAGCTAAAATTGACAAGAGTGATAAACCCACCACTATTTGAAGATAAGGCAATTGAAATAATAGAAGCGATGTCTGTAACCTACTTTAAAAGGCATAAGGAAAATAAGATCGATGGAGAGATGGATAGATAAATAGATATATAATAAAGAAAATACAGTAAGTATAGAATAGAGTGTCGATTCTAGGCGTCAGGTATATGGGTATTCACTATAAAATTCTTTCTGCCCTTAATTATGTTTGAAAACTCCCATAATGAAATGTTGGACAGATAAAGAATAGTGGTAATCACAATCCTGGAAATGCATAGTTTTATAGTCTTAACACTGATAACATCTATCAGTTGTGTTTATAACTAAAAATGACCATTAATAACAGTGTAAAAGAAACAGTAGATATATTCTATTTTAGACCAGAGAGGAAACAGCTATAGGAATAGTGTATAAAGGATACATTTTCTAACAATTTGAAGTGTTCAACTACAGACAGCCTTATGAGATGGCAAATATTCTATCACAGGAAAGGGTAGGAGAATATCTATGATGAACATGGTAGAGATTCTTGTATTGGTTAGAAAATTAAACGACCACTAAAATAACGTGTACTCTCTTAAAATTCTTGTATGGTACCCAAATAAAAATTAATTTTAATTGACAGAAGTTGAAAGTAGAAAAAAGCATGAGCATGTCTAAGCAATAATCTCTCCTTACCTTTAAGAAGTTCTGAACTCTAATATCTACTTTCTACTTGACATCTCTCCTGGATACCTAATAGGCCACTCCAACATAACAGTCTTTACTGTTTTTAGTGAGCTTAGTTCTCCCCTAATATTGTCCGTTTTAGTAAATAACACATAATCTATCAGCCACTTAGGCTGGAAGCCTGGGAGTCATCTTTGACTAATGCCAAAGATGAATTATTTTTTAGCCTTATGTTAAATTGTTATTAAAAGCATAATAGATATATTTTTAAAATATTTGTGATAAAATGTGGGGACCTTATAACAGCCTAAACAATAAGCCTGGTTCAAATCTATAAAAGTATGTTTTTTAATAGTAATTTGAAGGATGAGACTGGGGATGGGATGCAGGGAAGGAAATGAGGGTGCAAATGCTATAAGTAAAACAAAGAGGAACAAAAAACAGAGGAGAAATGATAAGATAATCATCAAATAGGTGAAATAAAGTCTGAGAGGTGTCCACTGGATTTGGGGATCAAAATGTCACTAAGTGACTTTAGGTGGGAAAAAGCTCAGTAAAGTAACAGGGTAAAAGCTACACTGCACATATTGAAAACTGGTTTTGAAGATGATAAAATATAGATATCAACTAGAGGCCTGGCTCAATGGAATAAATTCAAGGAGCAACAGCCAGAAGGGGAAAACAGCACTACAGAAATAACCCGAATATGCTCATAGAATTAGCGGCTTAGAAAGAAGATACTTGTCTATCACTACACTAAACAAAGTAATGACATCTTTAGAAAGGAAGAAAAGAAAACACATTTCTTCAAATAAACTGTTTAAACAATAGGTTATCAAAAAGTTCATTTATATAAAGAATAGGAAAGAACTTACACTTTATCCCCAATTTCCTCTGCCATTCGAAGAATTTCAAAGAGAAGTACCATTTTGCCAGAATGCTCTAAAACCTCAGCATCAGCATCTGTAACAAAATCTTTGTACCAGTCTGGAGCTGGGCTGCTTGGATTAGAGGAGGAAGTAGCTTTACCTAAATAAAATAAATGAAACATAAATAAGTAGGCAAATAAGGAAAAAAACTAAAAGACCCCAAGAGAGGAATTAAGAAAGAGACCAAGAGAACAAACATAGACCAACCCAGGGAGAAAGTGAGGAAGAGACTAATAGGAATTTGGGAGAGGGAAGAGAAACACACATACAAACACACACGCACACTCATTCCCAGAAAAAAAAGACTACCACAGGAGAGCTCTATACTGTGAGAGAAACACTTGAGGCAGAGGGCTCAGGAAGACAGAGGTGCTAAGAGACAGAGGCCCCCAGGCCCTGAGAGATAATATCCCCCAAAACATCCCAAGATACAGGGACTAGGAGAGAAAAAGGCCCAAAGAGAGACAGAGAGAAATGAAGGGAAGGAGAAAGAGAGGGAGACTGACTGACTCAGAGATCAAGAGAGAAAAGATCTTAAGCGCAGGGGCAAGAAACATTTCACTGTGCTACTAGAATTCTGGAAAACTTAAATACTGGTCCCAGAATCATCATATCATATTAATTTTGTTATTTTCACACAAACTTTGACAATAAAAAGTGTAAGAAGAAAGTGACACAAAATAATCAAGGTCTAAACATAAACAATTCAATGCAAAAATGAGGAATATACAGGTTTAACCAGTTTTCGTAACTTCTCCCAATTGCTTTTTAATGCGAAGTATTTTACATTTTTATAATTTTTGCTATAAAAGTTTACATATCCAGAAATGTATATAGAATATAATAAACAGCCATGTTCCCACATCCCACTTTTATCGTATTATAACACTTGTTAAATCTGCTTCTGATGCACTCAAAGCCTAATATTGTGGCCCTACCCAATCACATTCTTCTTTCCCTCCCTTCTTTTGGAGAGGTAATTAAAACCTTAAATTCTATAATTATTATTTCTGTGTATGTTTTCATATTTTTCCCTACAAGTGTATCCCTAAACTGGACATTACCTTTCATGTTTTTATCTATAGCAGGTCCTCGAATAGTGTTTTGTTCTAACATTGAACAGATGCTACAGGAACTTAATGCTTGTTTACATCAATTAGCCTAGGGTAAAATTGGTTTTATTATACATCATTTTGCTTAAAGTCACAAAACCTACTGACAGCGTTAAGTGAGGACTTACTTAGCCATCCTATTTGTATCATTCTACAACTTAAATTTATTACCTCAATGTAGTATTTCATTTTTCACTCAGAGTAAAACTTATTCAATCATTCTGTCATGTAGTATTCTACTGCATAAATATACCATCATTTATTAGTTCTCCTGTTCACAGACATTTAGGTTATTTCTAATTTTTGGCTACTGTGAAATAACTGCAATGAACATTCAATGCTGTTATATTTTTCTAGAACGTTGTTTGCTTCATCAAAGTTTTAAATTGCCCAGCATAATATTATGCTCATAATTTTTTAAATATCACTTTAAACATACTTATTTTATAGTCTTTATAAAATAGTTCTATCACCCGGTCGGGTGTGGCTCAGCGGTTGAGCGTCGACCTAGGATCCAGGCGATGGGGGATCGGTTCCTAGTCAGGGCACATGCCCGGGTTGCGGACCTGATCCCCAGCCGGGGGCATGCAGGAGGCAGCGGGTCAATGACTCTCTCATCACTGATGTTTCTATCTCTCTCTCCCTCTCCTTTCCTCTCTCTGAAATCAATAAAGATATATTTTTAAAAATAAATAAAATACTTCTATTATCTGAGGTTCTTGAGAATCAAATCATGCTGTTCCTTGTGTGTGTTAACTTTCATTAAGTTGACTGCTAACTTATTTTGTTGCTGTATTTACTTAAGGTGAATTGATTCCTCACACATCTATATTTTTTATTGTCATTTCACTTTCAGTGTAGCTGTAATATGGGAGACCCTTGGGTAGCTCAGGTTGAGGTCATTCATCTCCACAGTGATTCTACATCTGCTTTTGCCAGGTGCTCCAGGGGGTTACCAACCCAGAATTACTTTTGAGGTTAGTATTTCAGCTTGAGATTTTTAGACTATGTAAGTAATGTAAATTCAAACCACAAACTATGTGAGAGAAAGCCCATGATTATGAATCCAAGGAAACTACTTTCCCAACCCAGAGCCCAGGGTGAAACAATTAAGCTTTCTTGTCTTTTCCCTGGATTGAATGAAGCCCAATTTTTTTTCCTATCCTATTCTTCCATGGAGTATGTACCCTTTAAAGAGATTCAGGTTTAATCTGGGTTCTAAGAACTCTCCACCTTATAAATGGTTCAAGGACTAGTATCCTATCCCTAGGTAGGTGAAAACAAAAATTGCTAGTCTCAAGACTAGTATATCCCAATAGCACACCTTCTTGAACTCACTATTTATCAGCTCTCTTTTTTTGTGTCTGGATCCTAGTGATTTTCATTACATTTAGAAAGCTGACTATGCATTTATACTGAAAACAATGAACTACTGCCTAAACATTTCACATACTTGCAAGATTCCATACCTATCATTGAATGTCTTATATTGCTTTCTTTCCCTCTTTGCCTGGTAAACTTCTACTTATGCTGTACTATCCTTCAAGAGTAAACTAAAATTTCATCTTAGAAAAGCCTCCTTGTAAGGCTGGCCTATGGCTGCTATCTGGGAACTTGAATGGTAAACAGTTTCCTGTACTGATATAAAAACATTCCCAGACAAGAGGGGTTTGTCATGACTAGATTGTTTGTACAAACAATATGGTTTTTTCTGAACACCTATTTTCTTTCGGTGAGTCTGGAATTTGGTAACAGCTTTGTGCTGTGTATACATACATAACAAGTAACAGTGACTTAATTAATTAATTGAAGTCACTCCTTAGTATCCACTCTGGATATCACAAAATGTTTACAAGGTAAAGCATAAAGAGAATACAAATAGAAGGCAACACCTTTACTCCTAATTTCTTTTTTTTCCTGTTGTCTGTCTGTGAGTTTGGGTTTTTTTGTTTTTTTCTTAATCCCTTCACCTTTTTCTCCTACCCCCAACCCCTCCCCGCTCTGACAGCTGTCAGTCTATTCCCTGTATCTATGAGTCTGTTTCTATTTTGTTAATTTTCTTTATTAGATCGTATCTTATTTGTCTTTCTCTAACTGGCTTATTTCACTTAGCATAATATTCTCCAGGTCCATCCATGCTGTCACAAAAGGTAAAATTGCCTTCTTTTTTATGGCCAAGTAGTATTCCACAGCTTTTTTTTATCCACTCATCTACTGATAGGCACTTGGGCTGCTTCCAAATCTTGGCCATTGTAAATAATGCTGCAATGAACATAGGAGTGCATATGTTCTATGTTATTTGTCTATCTTTAAATTGAATTTATTGAGATGACACTGGTTAATAAAATTATATAGGTTTCAAGTGTACAATTCTATAATACATTATCTGAATGTTGTAATGTGTGTTCACCATCCAATGTCATGTCTCCTTCCATCTCCACTTATCTCTCCTTTACCCTCTTCTGCCTCTCCCTACCCCCCTTTCCCTCTGGTAATTATCATACTGTAGGGGTCCAGACAACAGTACCCCTAATTTCTTGAAGCATTCTACATATATATTTAACTACCATATTTAAAGCAAGATATACTGTAGTTTTAAAAAGAAAAGTAACATATTAAAATATTATGTGTATACACAGTAGTACTAGAATAGTAAGCTCCATGAGTGCATTTTGTTCACTGATACAACCTACGCTTCTACAGCAGTGCCTGGCATATAGTAAACACTCAATAAGTATATGCTAAATGAACAAATATCATATATTAGTGCAAATAATATGGTCCTACATCACATACAAGGATTCTATCACAAAAGCTGATATCCATACAATAAATTATATACATTTTAAAATTTAAATGCTCACCAATAAAGCTTCTCTAAAAATACTGAAATAATTATAAACTGAATATTTTAAAGTAGTTTACATAGTCAATTCCACATCATGAAACTGTCCTTCTAATATAAAACTAAAACACAGAAATGGTGATGCTGTAAGGTAAATTTAGATGACTTATTCAAGATTCTGCTTCTCAGAAAATTCATTAAGCTACTGTAAAAGAATTAAACAACAATTCTTTGAAGTAAAAATGAGCCCTAGCTGGTTTGGCTCAGTGGTTACAGCATCAGCCCGCGGACTGAAGGGTCCTGGGTTCAATTCTGGCCAAGGGCATGTACCTCGGTTGCAGGCTTGATCCCTGGCCCTGGTCAGGGTACATACAGGACAAAACCTACAGATGTGTCTCTCTCACATCGATGTTTCTCTCTTTCCCTCCTTCCCTCTCCCTCTCCTCCCTCCCCCTCTGAAAAGCAATGGAAAAACTATCCTTGGGTGAGGATTAAAAATTAAATAAAAATTTAAAAAGAAATATGCAGTGAAAGTCATATTATAGTTCAATTATAGCTATCTACTTACTTAATATCCACTTCAAATTCCAGGTGCAATATTTTGGGCCTTTAATACTTCCTATTCAGATTTTTTTTTTACATTTACTGTAAGGAAGTAATTTTTTTAAAGTTATAGTACCAGCTATATATGTTCATATACTATGATCTACTTAGCCTTCTATGGAGTTAATCTAGATCTACAGGACAAAAATTAATTTTTATCATCGATTTGTTCTGAAAAATGTTTCTAATAAACTATATATGTACATAGCTATAAAAAATTTAAAATACATCCATATGTGAATTACTTCTACTTGACTGCACACAGCTAAAATTAAACAAAGACTCTAGACAAGTAGTCATTTGTCATTTGGAACCCACAGTCTTCTCTGTCTGCTTTTAAGTTTACAACATGTAGCCACCTACACTTTGCTCCAGTTCTTTTCAACCTTTTTTTACATTATGGCATAAATGGAAAGCAATCACAGTCACAAAGCACACCAGGAAAAATGGAAGAATCTACTCATTTCTGGAGGCAACTCAGCTGCCTCAGACCCCACCTATACTTTCAAGTGATGAAGGAATCTATACCTCTGCATACTTCTATGTAACCCATTTACAGCACAGAATAAGACACACTGGTAAGTCTTAATCTCTCTGTCTCTTATCCATAAGTTATGAGAATAATTTTAACAAGTAAATTTTAAGAAAATAATTCCCAGGAACACATAAACTCTAAGCTATTCATTTCTAATTACGAGATGAGAGACTGAGGAAAATTTTAAGTGAAAAGGCAGATTGGGAGAGGAGAAGAGGAGATAACAGGAGCTTCCTGTTACCTTAAATTAAACCATAACCATTTCTTTAGTATTCTTAGAAAGATATTCTTTAAATCTAATTGGAAGTTGAATGCTGATAACAAACTGCCTTTATGGAGTAACAAGAGAAAAAAAACAAGGAGGGAAGTTTTGTAGTCCTATTTTACTATTGCCCTGATTTCTTAGAGAAGACAGAGTCTGTGGTTAGGCTGCCATCTGTCTATTTGAAGGAGGTACTGAAGAGAGAAATGTTTATCAAGGAGTCACCAAATTAGTTCAACTGCAGGCCTGAGACGAGCCAAGCTTGTTTGAGTACAGGATCATTCACCTATTTAGCATCTATATCTCTCTTCTCTTCACAGTCAACTGCTTTGTTCCATGACTTCCAACAACTTAGAGCATATTTACACTGTTCTGCCTTTAGATAAATGATATTTCAAATATTCAGTCCAAGCTTTAGAGTAGACACCCAGTCAGGCTGTACCAGGAGGATATGGAGCCTCAATACTAAATTCTTCAAATGGTGATAACAGGTAAAGACAACTCTAGACATTGGGAGTTCAGTCAAAAACCTTCACTGTGTGTACACTCATGCACAAGAGAGAGAAAAAAGCAAGCAAAAGAGGTGACAAACAGTGCATGATACAGAGGAAACCAAAACAATTATAAATTTTAAGAGTTACAAAGGAAAAAGATTAAACCATTAAAAATAGTTTCACTATATAAAATCAATTACAATACTTGGTTCTCTGAAATTATTCCAGTTATTTATACATAGGTAAGAGAAATTACCATGGTGGCTTTGAGGCTGAATGTATCTAGGTCTGAATCCCACTTCTACCAATCATTTATAAAAGTAAAGATATAAAGAACATTGCAAGGCTGCTCAAGAATCAAGTTAGCTAGCACATGGAGTAAAAGTAGTAATACAGAGTTTACATTTACACATGTAAATAAACATTATTATTTTTTTTTTTTACTCTGAAATACCAGAGAGAGCACAATGCTTGCTTATAATTAAACAGTCATCAGATATTTATTATTATTATTATTATGTGTTCCATGATTAACCTATATGCCTACCAATTGAGAAAAGATATTCCTTTGGCCAACTAGAGAGGATAATTAACAACTGAAAAAAGTACTGACATGATAATGACATATTTCTAAACAATGTTCCATGATAAAGGCAACATTTATTAGACTTACTTTCTTCCATCTTTAAAGAAACTGAGGGATTGCTTCCTGTTTCATCCACATTTCCTTCACCACCTCCTCGAGATCTTGAATTCCAGACTTTAATGACTTCGACATCATTGTCACTGCCACTTCCACTTGAGCTACTATCTTTTTTCCCCTTTTTCCCCTTTGTTTTCTTCTTTCTAAAAAAGAACAAAGTCAAACTAATAGAAAAGTACAGTAAACATACAAGTGCCAATTATGAGGACAATCAGCAAGTAGGAAGTTTTAATGTGTCAACACTGGGCATAAAAGTATTCAATTTACTTTGTATAATCATCGGAGCTTAAACTCATGGAGGTTTCATCGGAATCCGAAGCTATAAATTCATCCATACTGTCTTCATCAAAATATCCCTAGAGAAAAAGATGAATGTTTTAATGGTATATTTCAACTTATATTGGAAATTATTATGATATTTATTTCTTAAGAATAAGTCAATTGTCATGAGATAAGGAAGAACTAAGGAACTATCATGAATTAGAAAAATAAAGGAGACATGAGAGATATGACTACTAAATGCAAAGTGAGATCTTAAATTGATCAGAAAAAGGAATAAGTACGAAAACTAAGAAAATCCAATTAAATTCTGTTGTTTAGGTAATAGTACTTCACAACGTTAATTTCTTACTTTTGATCATTTTACTATTGTTATGAAAGATGTTAAGATTAACATTTAATACTCATGCCATAATCGTAATACATTCAAACATAGACATTAACTGGAAATAAAATATGTTGAATTACTATATCACAAAGCAAAAGAAAATTCAAACATACAGTAAGTCTATATAGATCAACCTTTTTCCTAAAGTTATTCTGCTTCCAACAGATACCTTTTAATCAATCCTAGGTTACTTAATTTACCTTATTTTCTTTGCTAATATAGTCCAGCTGCAAACACCATGGATGAGTCCAGATTCTACTTAACATCTGAAAATCTTGGAAAAGTTTTGCACCTGCCTTTCCTCTTCCACCTTCACTGCTATTACCTACACCTGATCAAAAGAAAAATAGTTAACATTAAGACATAAGAATCTGTTTCAACCTAGGTGTTTCTAAAATAGGGGTTTTAATTTGATCTGTTCCATGAACTCCTTTGGCAGTGTAAAGAAGCTTACAATAATGTTTTCAAATACACAAAATAAATAGGATTAAAAAAGAACCCATTATATAGAAATTATCAAAATACTAAAAAATCTGTGATATAGTAATATGTGTAATTTATTAATGCATTAAATAAAAAAATATAGCAGCAGGTCTAACAATTACCTGAAATTATGAAGTGTTGAAAAAGGTAAATAATTTTGAGATATCACTGACAATAATATATAGAAATATATCTGATTTCTTCTATGAGCTTTATGGCTTCAGGTGTTAGACTTAAGTCTTTAACTCATTTTGACTTTATTTTTGTATATGATGTAGGCAATCTGTCCAGTTTCATTTTCCAGCATTTATCTGTCCAGTTTTCCCAACACTGCTTTTGCAGAGACTGTCATTTCCCCATTGTATAATCTTGTCTCCTTTGTCATAGATTAATTCACCATGTAAAATACACAGAAATCTCTCTCATTTCTACATACCAATAGCCAGCCAATGATCAGAAAGAGAAATTAAAAGAATCTCATATACAACTGTATCAAAAAGAATAAACTACCTAGAAATAAATCTAATCAGTGAGGTGAAAGACCTGTACTCTGAAAACTATAAAACACTGAAAAAAGAAATTAAAGAGAGCACAAATAAATGGAAAAATATAGTGTTCATGGATTGGAAAAATTAATATTAAAATGTCCATACTACCCAAAGTAATCTAATCATTCGATGCAATCACTATCAAATTACCAATGATATTCTTTCCAGAACTAGAAAAAAATCCTAAGATTTATATGAAATCACAAAAGACCCCTGAATAGCCAAAGCAATCTTTTCTTTTAAAACAATATTTTAATTAAGTTTATTGGGATAACATTAATAAAATTATAAGGTTTCAAGTGTCCAATTCTATCATACATCATCTGTATATTGCATTGCGTTTACCACCCAAAGTCAAATCTCCTCACATCACCACATATTTGACCCCCTTTACTGCCTCTCCCTTGCCCCCCTTTCTCTCTGGTAACCACAATTCTGTTATTTGCGTCTATGAGTTTTTGTCTTGCTTGTTTATTTCTTATTTTCAATTTTACATCCCACATGAGTGAAATTATATGGGTCTTCACTTTTTCCATCTGACTTATTTTAATTAGCATGATATTCTCACAATCCATCGATGTTGCAGGTAGTATTTCACCTTTTATGGCAGATAGGATTCCATAGTATATATGTACCATATCTTCTCAATCCAATCATCTATCAAAGGACACTTTGATTGCTTCCATGTCTTGGCCAGCATGAATAATGCTGCACTGAATACAGGGATGCTTGCATATATCTTTATGAATAAGTGTTTTCAAATTTTTCGGGTGGATACCCAGAAGAGGGGTGGTTTTGTCATGTGATAACTCTATTCTTAATTTTTTGAGAAACCTAAATACTGCTTTCCATAGTGATTGTACCAGTTTACATTCCCACCAGCAGTGAATGAGGGTTCCTTTTTCTCCACACCCTCTCCAACACTTTCTATCACTTGTCTTGTTGATAACAGTCATTCTAACAGGTGTGAGGTGGTATCTTATTGTAGTTTTGATTTTCGTTTCCCTAACAGCTAGTGAAGTTGAGCATCTTTTCATAGATCTGTTGGCCTCTGTATGTATTCTTGAAAGAGGTATCTATTCAAGTTCTCTGCCCATTTTTAATTGGTTTGGGATTTTTTGACCTAGCCAGTGTAGCTTAGTTAGTTACGGTCATCCTGTGCACCAAAAGGTTGCAAATTCGATTCCCGGTCAGGGCACATCCCCGGGCTGCAGGCTCAATCCCGGGTAGGGGGCGTGCAGGAGGCAGCCGATCAATGTCTCATGCTCACATCAATGTTTCTCTCTCCTTCTCCCTTCCTCTCTCTCTAAAAATCAATAAAAAATTTTTTTTAAATGTTTAGGTTTTTTTGTCATTGAGTTATATGAGTTCTTTATATATTTTGGATATTAACCCTTTATTGGAGGTGTTGTTTGCAAATATCTTCTCCCACTGATTCCTTTTTTGTTTTGTTAATGATTTATTTTGCTGTACAGAAGCTTTTTAGCTTGATATAGTCCCATTCATTTATTTTGCTTTTGCTTCCCTTGGCTTTGAGGTCAAATTCATAAAATACTCTCTAAGACGAAGGTTCATAAGTATAACACATATATTTTTGTTTATGTAAGATATTCTTTCAGGTCTTATATTTAGGTCTTTGATCCATTTTGAGTTAATTTTTATGTGTGGTAACAAACAGAAGTCTAGTTTCATCCTTTTTGCATGTGGTTTTCCAATTACCCCAGTATCACTTATTGAGGAGGCTTTCTTTTCTCTATTGTATGTTTTAGCTCCATTGTCGAAAACTCTTTGACTATATACATGTGGGTTTACTTCTGGGCTCTCAATTCTGTTTCATTCATCTGTGTGTCTGTTCTGCTGCCAATACCATGCTGTTTTATTATCACAGCTCTATAGTATAATTGGAAGTCAAGGAGTATGATACCACCAGCTTTGTTTGTTTTTCTCAGGACTTCTATGGCTTTCAGGATCTTTTTGGTTCAACAGAAATCTGATAACCTTCCTAGACTGAATCAGGAAGAACTGGAAAATCTAAATAGATGGGTCAACAGCAAGGAAATTGAAACAACTATGAAAAACCTTCCAAAAAGTAAAAGTCTAGGACAAGATGGCTTCACCAGTGAATTCTACAAAACTTTCAATGACTTAATACCCATCTTTTTCTATTTACTTATTTTTTTAATCCTTGTCCTAGGATATGTTTTTATTTTTTTATTGATTTTGAGAGAGAGAGGAAGGGAGAGGGAGAAAGAGAAGCATCTATGTGAGAGAAAAACATAAATCGGTTGCTTCCCATACTCGTCCCGACAAGGGATCAAACCTGCAACCTGGGTATGTGCCCTAATGGGGAATTGAATCTATGACCCTTAGGTGCACAGGACAATGCTCCAACCAACTGAACCACACTGGCCAGGGCAATACCTATCCTTTTAAACTCTTCCAAATATTTGAAGAACGGGCAACACTTCCTAACACATTTTGTGAGGCCGACATTACCCTGATACCAATACCTGGTACAGATAACACACAAAAAAGGTAAACTACAGACTAATATCTCTGATAAATACAAATGCAAAACTCCTCAACAAAATACTGTCAAATAGAATACAAAAATACATTAAAAAGTAATACAACATAATCAGTGCAGTTTATTATAGGGGAACAAGGATGGTTCAATGTATGCAAATCAATCAATGTGATACATGACATTAAAAAAATAAAGGATAAAAATCATATGATCATCTCGCCCAGCCAGTGTGGTTAGTGGTTGAGGGCTGCCCCATACACAAAGAGGTTAACGGAATTCCAGCTAGGGCACAGGCCTGGGTTGCAGGCTCAATCCCCAGTAGGGGGCATGCGGGAGGCAGTCAATCAATGTTTCTCTCTCATTGATGTTTCTCTCTCTCTCTCCCTTTCTCCCTGTCTAAAAATCAATTTAAAAATACACACTTAGAAAAAAATTATATGATCATCTCAACAGATGCTAAAAAAGCATCTGACATCATACAACATCCATTTATAATTAAAACACTCAATAAAATGGGTATAGAAGGAAAGTACCTCAATATAATAAAGGCCACATATGAAAAACCCTCAGCCAATATCATACCCAACGGTGAAAAACTCAAAACTTTTCCTCTAAGATCAGGGAAAAGACAAGGATGCCCACTCTCACCCCTCTTATTAAACATAGCACTGGAAGTCCTAGCCAGAGCAATCAGGCAAGAGAAAGAAATAAAAAGGGCATCTAAATGGGGAATAAAGAAGTAAAACTATTTATACCGTGGAATACTACGCAGCTGTAAAGAAGAAGAATCTAGTACCCTTTGGGACACTATGGATGGACCTGGAGAAAATTATGCTAAGTGAAATAAGCCAGGCAGAGAAAGACAAACATCA